ATGAGCCGCAGCCCCACCCTGTGCCCCACCCCACCCCAGTAGTGCCTGCTCCAGCGTCTGCTCCACTCCCTCCCTCACTGCGGGGGCCTTGATCTGCGCCCCCACACTCCTTCCCTCCTTCCCCTTCCACCACAACAGACTTACCAGCTGCATGCAGCTTTCCACACTGCTGGGCTGTGCTCCTCACCATCTATGGCCATTTATTGGCCAAATTTATCGGATACTTATCAGGCTGATTTCTGATACAGTCAATTTTCTTTATATCGGTGCCAATCCAATATCAGACCAATGTATTGGTGCACCTCTAATAACTATTGTAAATTAAGGAGCCAAATCTTCTCCCCAGCATCTGACACAAACAGATAGGGTAACTGCTGACCTCCCAGACTATTACATATTTCCTCTTTAGAGGATGACGTCATTTTTCCACAAACCCGAAAGGGGAGAAGACCAGAAATCAGTGTCTAAATGAAGTCAGTGGAACTATCTAAGTGACATATACAAGCAAAGTCTATGCTGAAATCTAATACTGTGCATAATCTGTAACTATAATATTAATAAAAACCACATAAAGTAAATACCTTTTCAAAATTTCCTTGCAGTATAGATATTCTGGCAGCGTAGAATAAAATAATGGAACCCTTGAGAGGAAAAGAAAAGAAAGTAAAGAAGCAGCCATTCCTTTATTCAGAATCTTTGGTAAACTATACTGAGTACTCACATTTGGAAACTTCTGGAGGTAGGGTTCAAGTAGAGTCTCTGCTTCCTCAAGATTGGCTTCTCCTGTACCTATAATCATAGTAAGACTACTTCTGACTCACTAGAACAGCACAGATTTTTAAAAAGTAATTTCCAAGTTATATCACAGATTGAGTAGAATATCAGAGAACAGTCTTGTTTTACCTATGCCATGGAAAACTTTATTTTAATATAGTAAGTTTCAGTAAAAACAAAATCCCATTCTAGGTCTTTAAGATACTAAATATCCAAGAGAGAAATAAAACAGAGCATATAAGCAACCTTAATATGAAATTCTTAATGATATATTTTAAACAAACAAAAAGCCTTCCTTAATCTTGCCAGAAGTTTGAAAAACTATTTTAATGCCTCTTGCTTCCCAATTTTTAGCTTAGCAGATAATATTGAGAAGAAAATAAGTCTTTCTAAATTTCTTGGCTTCTAAATCCCGATAAGCCAAGAAGGGTAAGTATAATATTCGCAAAGAGATGCAAGCATATCTTAGAAACATACGTAGTCCTAAAGCCACCAGTACATTCAAGGGGCCTGACCAACTCTACAGGTATCTGAACTTTCATCATCACAGGCATTCCAGACCTTCCAGCAACAGTAGCATATCAAATTCCATTTGGCTATACCTTTTAGTTCACTAGTTAACTTGGAATGCCCTAGTAATCTTATTGAATTTTTTCTGGACAATTATAAGATCAAAGGCACACCCCAAGGTTGAAGGGAGAGAATCATTCTGAGTTTCTTCCTCTCCATCTTTGTCTGATCTTTCCTGGTCCAGGGAAAATTTACGCACAGACTAAAGTGTGTGCATGAATGCATACATATCTTCTGAATGTGGAAAGTATGTAAGTGAATGTTTAAGAGTATATATTCATTTGGCTCGTTACTTTTCATTCTTCTCACCATTACTTTAAGAACTGGGGCTTCTTCACACTTAAAAATAGGGTTTGCTGGTACAGATATAATAGTAGAGATATAACAGAAACCTCTTCTATTGGAAATTCAGTTTATATCAGCAAGAGTTCTTTGTGTATAGTTTAAAACAAACTAAGTGTGTCTACACAAGGGTTTTGCTGGCATAAATAAATTGCTTACTGGTATGATTTTATGAGTGATGTCACCAGCTGTGTCTATTAAAGTACAGGCCAAGTTCAGTACCAAGTTCTTACCAAGGATGAAGCAGACAAAAGTGTGATATACCAGCAAGGTGAAAGTACACAGGATGGCCCTCAAACTTGTACCGGAAGCACCTTCCCGTAGCTGGAGGAGGCCTATATCCTAAAGGAATCAGAAATGTTTAGTTATCTACTACAGCATACTGGACATCTAATGTAAGTGATAAGATTAATATAAGTGCTAACAATTTTTTCATTTTTCTCTTTTAGAAAAACTCAACTCCTCCTGGTTAAAATCCAGAGGGTCCTGCTTTCCCTAGACAGAGCTCTGAGCTCCAGGAATGAGCAACGAGATCACTCAGTGGAAGTGTTCACCTCTTTAAATGGAGGACTACATTTAAGTCCATGGGTGGAACGCAAACAGAGTACTCAACAACTTGCAGATCAAGTTTCTGTGTGCCTTCTCACCACTATCCCTTGGCAGGGAACTTCCCTCAGTGTTCTTTGTGGCACCAATATCAAGGGAAGGGTGCATACATATACAATCAAGAATCCCACAACCCTATACATTCCACATATCTATCCACAGCCACTGACCTTCCACACATGTTCACCTTTATCAATGCAACTTGCAGGCAGAAATTCTAATTTCTCTACCATTTGCAATGATTTCTACACAGATCTCCTACCACCCCCGATCTTTTAGCCACCAGAAAATATTTTTGCAGGCTAGTATTAAATATGTTTTCACTGATGCCTTGTTTCTAGACCCTACTTGCAGCAGCTCTCTTGGTGTCTACACAGGCAGAAGAGAGGGATGACGGTTCATAGAGACCCCTTCCTGCATAGCGATGCAGGAAGCTCATACATATAGGAGCTCATATACATTCATAATATATGAAGTCTGTTTAACTCTCAGATTCTGTGGACCCTGATGGTACAGTTGGAGCAGCTGCTCTGTGCCCAAGCCATGTAGCTTCAAGTCTTCCTTTGGATTAACCAGGTTAGCTCAGATCTTCTTACACAAGTAAAGGCTCTTAGAAGTTGGGCACACATGTGAAATAGGAGAGCTGTGCACTCACAATTCCTGCCTCCTAGGGTAGAGCAGGTAGGACAGGCAGAAAGTATATGAAGCTTGGCTCCATCCCTAGCAATTGGCTTGGAGGATGCATTTATTTGCTGCTGTTATAAGCTAAAGGAGAGTTACAATTCTTTCTACAGCAAGGGGGAGCTGGAAGCTTGTTCTGAGGTACCGTGCTTCTCTTGGCTGCTCCTGTGAGGGGTGTAGCTCAGTGTTTTTCAACCCATGAGTCACAACCCAAAAGTGAGTCATAAGAATATTTGAAAGGGTTGCAAACAGTGACAGAGAAATGAAGGAAAGCACGGGTTTCTCCTTGCAGACTGGCAGCCGGTAAGGAGCTAGCTGCCTGGGGCTGGGGAGGAGCTGGAGGAGGGTGATTGGAGGCAGGGACACCACATGCGCAAATGCACATGGCTGGCATACAGCCAGGTAGGGCAGTGAGAGCAGCCCCAGCAGCTGGATGCAGATTAAGTCTATGGGGGACAGAGGTTGGAGGCCCAGGGCTTGGGGACTATGTGGGTGCAGGGAAGGGCTCAGGCAGGGGGAAGGGTGTGTGTGTGTGGGGGGGGTGGGGAATGGGTGGAGGGGGCAAGGTGCCGGCTGGCACTAGAGGAAGGTGTCCAGGTGCTGGGGCTGCAGCAGCATAGGAGGGCAGGGAGAGAGGGGGGAGGGGAGGGGCCTTTGGGGACAGTGGTGAGCTGCATGGCCAGGCTTGGCAGCATCAGTGCCTGTGCTTGCAGAGGTGGGGCAGCTGGGAGATGCTGCCCAGGGGGAAGGGGCATGGCCAGGCTGCCTGGCACTGCACAGGAGCCCCCAACCCAAGGCATGGAGTGCCACAGGCCTTCCCACCTCCTCCCTCCAGAACACGCCAGGGTCAGACTTGCTCTGCCACTGGCACAGTCGCCAGAGCCGCTGCAGCCACTGCGCTCTGGCCCAGCACAGCAGGGGCACCTGGGGGCCCCCTCCAGCAGGACTACGGGAGAGCAGAGGGGCTGCAAGTTGGGAGTGAGGGACACCGGCAGGGCCAGGGTGCTGCAAGTCGGGAGTGTGTAATAAATATTTTGGGGCCAAAATACTTGCATGTTTTCTACTTAAACTATTTACTGGGTCAGAACTGGCCATCAATATTTACAAATGGGTCCTGATACAAAAAAGTTTGAGAACCAGTGGTGTAGCTTATGACCCACAATTTACTCAGGGTGTGTTTAAAGTGGCCTAGTCAGTATTTTATAAAAATATATAAATAAAAATGAAAGCAAAATAAGCAAATAAATGAAGCAGAACAAGCGAACAAACAGAAAAAGCTGGCTTAAATAGAAGATCCTTTCACTTTACAAAGATTATACCAAATCCTTTTGCACCCTAATAGAGAAACCCCTGAAATTTTTAAAAATAAATCTATACCCTGTTGCCAGAAAAGCCAATAAATTCTAGAAGCCGGAGAATCCTTCCTGGTAAAAGGGACAGCAACTGTAATAAACAGCAAACAAAAACAAAGAGTTTAATCAGACATACAAACCTTGTATGTAATTCTTAAATGCAAACAGGTTCTAAAAAACTGCTATATGACCATAAATGTGAATTACAGTACCAAATACCATTTTTAACTGGCATGAAAAGGAAATATCAAATTCAAAATATAAATATACTATTTTAAAGATATCAAAATTGATGTGAACGATCAATTATTGTACAACCAACTCCATGCACATGGCAAAACTTGGTTTTCCAGCCTGAGAACAATATGATCTTACTCCCATCATGCTTTCAAAATGATGTCTCCTTATCTTAGGCTTACTAACAACATTAACAAATTGTGCATTATTGGAAGTTAAGGCATAATATTTTAATAAGTACAATGCTCACGTTATTATTCATACTGTGACAGCATGTAAATAGCCTTTCTTTAAGAAAACTGTTTTAGTATTGCTGATCAGATTTTTAAATCTATTGTCTTGGAAAGCTTTCTTCTTTGTTTCTGTTTTGAAAGCACTTGAGTACTTGTTAAGCAATTATGTTACACAGAACTTGTTCACTGGGTTCTTCCGTCACTTACCCTATTTACTTCAGACTATACTGCCAACTTGTCAAGATTATTCTGAATTCTAATCCTGCCCTCCAAAGGGCCTGCAATGCTTTCTGAAAATATTTGTATGGTAAACAGTGTAAAACTGAAGTCTAGCAAATATTTTTTCAGTAAAAATACCAAGAAATGTCAGGTTGAAGGTTACTGCTGAAGAGGATCTGTCCAGTTTATACTCATTTGATCTAGAATAGATCTTTTTCCTTCACATTTACTGTTGATAATAGTGCCAGTGTATATGGACAGTCACCAGTGCCTTGTGTCTTAAAGGATAGTCCTGTTTTAAGTAGGCTGACAACACTCTTAAAATGTAACCAGTGTACAACAGCACCCTTGCTGTCCTATCCATGAGAGGTAATTTAATGACACAATACATAAAATAAACTCGTAACATTAGACAACTGTGGCTCTTGGCAGCCATTACATTTATGGCATGATTCATGAGTTAATCATGCCATGAAATTGTAACATGCCACACATACAACCAATTTATGGTGTGATAAAATTACAAATCAGCCACAAAGACATTCCACATTAAACATGGAACCTCTTCATGACTCTTTTTTATCATATATTAGTTTGAATGTGTGGCATGTTAAACCCAAGTAGTGCAGCCCAACTTCACAGGGCTCCCCAAACCTGGAAAGTTTCAAGCCAAGTGGTACGGCCCCAAGCTGGGCTGAAGCACTCAACTTCACAGGTGCAAAGTGGGTGGAGCTGATGGGTTTTCTCCACCCAAGAAGTTTAAATCCACTTGCAGTTTAGCCCTGCATAGGCTGCCCTGAAATTGGGTTTAGAGCTGTGGGACATGGGGTGCTTTATAGGTTAAACTCCCTGGGTGTGCAGAGTCCAAGGTGCCAAGTTCCTCACGCCTGCATAGCATGTCTCCACCCATGCACTGGGCAGCCCTTGCAGGGTGTGTGGGTATAAACTTGCTGACAGGCATGGAGCCCAAAATCAGGATCCTAAGCTCCGTGCCCATCAGAAAATTGACAGGGCGGTTACAGGAAGCAAAGCAGTAGGGACCAGTACCCCATGCTAGCCGCCCTGCACCAGCAGTCACGCACCTGGGATCTATCCCTGATCCAGGTCCTGCCATGCACATGTGATCTGGGATCAAATCCATTAAATTAACATTTGTTACAGACCTATGTGTGCATCTCGCAAACTGCTGTTTCTCTATCTTGCATGTAATTAAACTTGTCAGTTTATAGAAAAATCAACCAATCATTGCAGCAAAAGAATGACATACACACAAAACAGGTTTGTTTGTGGAACAATAGACATAATAAAATATTCTATTCTAGTCTAGTTTATGAAGCAGATGCCATGATGCATTGTTTTTAATTTGTTAGAAACTACAACACTTCTTTTAAAACATCCTCAGCACATGATGCAAATACAAGTGTTTGCTATTAGGCTGAACATGGTTTTTAGAATATGTTAAAAAACTGCAAATAGTAGACATATAAGAAGTTGGCAACATATACTTTTCCCATATAGAATAAACGATCCACAGGGTCACCACAGGAGCCTGAAATATCCACCACACTGCACTACAGGCGTGTCTTGAAGTGATGGCACTATAAACCAACCTTTCATTTGAGCAAAGAAGAAAGCCTAACACAGAGCAACATGTATATACAAATATCAGTATATATGACACTATGGCTGCCTGCAGACATGGAAAAAAAGTGGTGCTTTACATTAACCTCAAGCACTCCCACACCAAGCCCAGAGCATGCCCAGAAAAGGCAGTTTGTTAGCTGCACCAGGCTCACCTGATGTCCATATAAATCAGGCCCTTTAGTGTGGCTTTTTTGGTACTTTTAACTAATAGCCGATTGCCTCAACTTGGGATAAAAGTGCCAAAAAACCCTGCTGAAGTGCCTGATCTATACAGATGCTGCAGAGCCAGGTCAAAGTAGTGCACTGCTGCTTCTGGTAAAATGCGTTTGTTTCCCCACCCCCCACATCCATCAGGGCCCTATCTTAATGGTCTTCTTACTGTATGAAAACTAATATCGTACCAGATTAAATGCTCCTATCCCAAGCTTTACTCCTCCTTCAAACTGGTGGTAAGTTTCATTTTTGCTTTTGATGCCCTGAGTCATCTGTAGCACTTGAAGACATTCTCTTATTTTAGGGGAAAAAAAGAAAAGAAAACATGATAGAGGTGATACAAATTAAGTAATACAATTGCCAATATATTTCTTCAAAGAGTTAATGGAATTCCTCCTCTATATAGCAAGTCTGAATCTGACTACATGTTTTATAAGAACTTACTTGTATATTTGGTAACTTGTCCTAATTTTGAGGCCACCCTTGATAAAGTTGATCATATTTTCATCCTGTAAGAAACGTGTTTTACTGTGCAAAAATGTGCAGATTTGTTTCTTTTGCAGTTGCATAAAATGCTCATAAGAAAATGTCTTTTAACTACACATCTTCTTACCATTAATCTTTACAAAATGTTACTTATTTATGATACATAAAATCAATTTTATAGTTATAAACTTTACTCTTAGGGAATATTATACAGAAAACAGAATACAGTATCAGGGTGGCCAACTTGTGGCATGAGTGCGACAAGGGCATGAGCAGCTTCACGCTGTGTGTCACATGGCAGAATGCAGAGGGCACAGGTAGCCTATGGGCTCCTACAGACATGCAGCAAGGCTGCTCCAATGTGCTGGAAATCGAGTCTGCCGGAGCATAGAAATAAATGTGCTCCAGCAGCCTCCAGCGTCCCCGTGCTGAAAAATGGCAGTGGGGTGCTTTAAATTAAAACTTGTTTGATGAGCTTTAATTCAAAACATCCCACCACCATTTTTCAGCGTGGGGATACTGATACACGTGATGCTTGGGCACTTTTAATTAGCACCGCATGCTAATTAAAAAGTGCCCTGCCTCCCCAGCCTCCTGGAGCACATCTATAAATGCCCTATGTGTGCACTGGTAGATAGTACAGGGATCAGAAAACAGTGCATTAAATCAGGCAGGAAGCTCAGGGCAGGAAACAGAGAGCAGAGCAGCAGCTTGGTAAGGGAACATAAAGCTGTGAAGCAAATCACGTATGGGACAAGGATCTTAGTGGCACTCGGGGAAGGTAAATGGTTAAATTGTGACACTCCTGCCAAAAAAGTTCAGCCCCCACTGCAGTATACGATAAAATGACAGAGAAACAGTTCTCTGCATGTTCTGAATGACACTCTAAATACAGATTATTAAAAAAATAGCCAAAAAATAGAACAGAGACAAAAGACCTTCAGCATTTAAGAGATAAATAACAAAAATTTCCACCAGATGGTGGTAGAAGAGCATTCTTAGAGAAAGTTTCCAAATTGTGCCTTGGAAAATGTAGAGAGGTCTTGAAAGAAAAACCCCAAACATCCTCTATTCAGTTAAATTCAAAATGCTGCTCAATAGCAACTCCAGTTTACCTCAGATTGCAGTAAGGGAACTAACAGCACATACCTTCCAATTGTATATATGAAAATATAATCTAACAACGTTCTGTGCACATTATATATTCACATAACGTAAGTATACCAGGTATTTATTTTTCATTCTATCATGGAAGAATTTATTTTACATAGACTTAACATTTGAATTCATTTAACTGATACTTCAGAGTCTTTTTCCAGTAAAAAACAATTATATGTTGCAGAGTGTATGTTTGATTTGATCTCTTTATTTAATTACAGGCATTGCCACCAAGCCTATTATCAAGATTCCCTGACACTTCAAAGTACAAGGCTATTTTCCAGTTGCTTATAAATTTTCAAACTAAGCATTTTGGCTCAATATTTCCAGGAAGTATGTATTTGTTAGGCTGATTTGAGGGCGGATTAGGGTTGCAGTATTTCAGATGAAATTATTCAGTTGCTCCTGAGAACAAAATAATTTTAAAGTATTTTGTTTTTCAATGTTAAAAAATTCTGGTAACCTTTGTTTTAGTGCTCTCATGCTTTGGAGCAGGGACTTGAAACTTGGCAGCAAGTCACAGATGTACTATTTTGCATCTCCATGATAAGTTATGGAAAACATGGCATTGTGGGGCAAGCACAATGAGACAGAAAACCTAAGAATGGCAGAGATTTGGATTATCTGGGCAAAGAAAATAGGTTTGGGAGTCAAATATGGGAGATAGGGAATAACGGGCGATAAGAGAACTGAAACTAGATGAGGATTTTGGAGAGGGCTGGGTAATTGGGACAAGGAACTCTAAATCAGTCAGGATGGGAAGCTTGGGCATGATGAACAAGTTCTGGAAGCTTGTGGGGAATGGCAAGGAATGGAGAAGAGAACTGGTATTCGCTGGACAAAGACTGGGAGTGAGTGGTAGGAGAGAGACCATAGGAGTGGGACAAAGATTTCAAGGCAAGAAACTGGGATCAAAAGCTGGTCTCAATCTCTTCCCTAGACTAGGTCAAGAAAATAGAACTATGAGAAGGAGCCAGTGGTAGGTACAAAAAAAAAAGCCTGAAAAAGTTGGGGCAGGTCTGAAGAGATCATACCTAGGGGAGATTGAGCAAAAAAAGGGCACCATGTCTACTGAAGTACTCATTCTTCCAGAGCCTGAAACTGAACACAAGAACCCAGAGTTTCACCACCTCACTCCTCTCTACAAATATCTGTGAAATGTACCCTAAAACCATGGGTACACAGTGTGCCTGAGTTCACCTGTAATATCCATTCTTCCCACAGAGGTATTTTAAAGTAGTAAATGCACTAGTGTTTTAAAGCAATCGGATACTGCTGGGATTAGCAACACAAAAACACCAATCAGAAAATTAATAATTCTATTTTAAAAGGGTTTAAATAATAGGTGGTAAATAAGTGAATGGGGCTTATTCAGCAACCATGAAACTAAATAATGAAAAGCTGCTTGTTAAGTGAGTATTGTCTATTCTGTGCATTAAAAGTCACGGAAGCTATGAAAACAATTGTACATGATCATATAATTAAAGACTGTATATCAGAATACATGCATGTCAGGGGACTGAAATAAGGTCTAGAGTGATTTTGGTTCTGGGATAACTCTGAGTGCTAGAATTTGCAACATTAGTAATGTTAATATAGCTTTTTATATAGACCTAATATATTTTTTCAAGTGTTGAAGTCAACAGAGTTGAGTATGTTTTACTTTGTGTATGAGTAGTCCCACTGGAAGCTATTAAAGCAAGCTGTGATAGAAAAAAAGTGACATTTTAACATTAATCCCTCGATGTAGAGGATGTGGCCACCCTCCACATCTACTATATTATCTAACTACTATAATTTTCAGTGAAAAACTAAGCTGGGAGTTTTTCAACAGCTCAAACTAAATTATTTAATAAACTTAATTAAAACTCACTACTGGATGATGAACTACTTCTGGAATAGCAGTTGGAATTTAGGGGGAAGGCATGGGCCCAAATTGCTGTGGGTAAGAATCCCTCCTTCCCATACATAGATAACAAAATAATAAAGAGAAGGTATTTAACAACCTCTAACTTATTATGTGTTCATTGTGTTACTTTTTGTCATGGAAATTGTGGCATTTCATTGAGGGAAAATAGGCTTCCATAAAAAAAAAGCACTTTTCTGGAGATTTAAAATGATTGGTGAGAAACTATGACCCATACTCAAACAGCCACTTCCAGGCCTGCTTTAGCAAGCTTACTTTCAAAACTCTCATTTGGTAAACACAACTAATCACAACACCCCAGTGCCTCCCATAATTCCAAAGTGAACAAAAACAACTCCTCTTGAACAAGTAATGCATTACTATAGGGTTGAGGGCATCATTTAAAGTCTATATGGACAGTGACTTCCAATGGAAGAACAAGAAGGATGGCTGCCAAAGAAATCAGCATGAAATGAAATCCTGTGGGTCGGGATGACATTTTCTACCAAATTCACCCATTTACAGCAATGCACTGCTTGACACCTGTGTTCTACATTTCTCTCACTTAAGGAGTACTGGCCAGTATGCACAGCTAAATGAATCATTGTTATGAAACTGTGTAACATAACAGACCCTTGGACAAAGATTAAAAGTTTATTTTTTTAAGTATGTTTAGATAGAAAATGTGAGTGTCACAATATAGCATAGCGTAAATGGCATTTTCAGTCAGTTTCTACAAAATAAACATTGTAAAAAAACATTTCTGTTTTCAAACATTACAGTTTTGGGGGAAATAATGTCTTAATTTGATTACTAATATTTTACACTAAATTGCATATTCACACAGAGATCTAAAATGAACAGTTGATATTACCTGTACAAATGTAAGTGCTGCTTTCTGCAATAAACATTCAGCATAACAGATTTCAGCATGCATTTCCTCTACAAAAAAGATCAAACAAAAGAAGTCTCAAATTATTAATTGCCAACATAATGCTTATTGGTTCACATTCAAATATGGTACTTGCCAATCAATGGGATAACAATATGTTGCCAGCAAAATCTAACTAGATTTTTATCATTCTTGTTTTGATAACTGTCAAGCCATATATGAAACAAACAAACAAAAAAAATCTAGTCAAGGACACTAGTTAAGAAGTTAGCTAAAAATAGTCTTCCATGTCACTTTTCTGCAGCCAAAAGCTTCAATCAGGCTTCAATTTGGGACACGTTACTGAGGCAACACTTGTCACTTTGGTAGACAATCTATTAATGAGTAAAGATAAAGTAAATATGTTCATTCTCAACCTACACCACTAGCTCATCAAACACTCCTGCCACTAAGAGCTGGTACCAGTGAACAGGAATATTCTAAAATGGCTCAGGGCCTGCTCATGTAAACTTGTCCTATAGCCATCTATATACATTTATATACATCTCTCTATATATATCTATACACATCTATAAGGTCCAAATCTACCCTGCCTTCTGCTTGACTTCAGACTAACACAACTACCTATGTCTCTAAACTGAAAGAGCCATTATAAACCATTTCCTTCTAATCATCAAGGCTCTCAACATGCTGGATCTGCAAGGGTCAATCCTTTTTTTCTATCTGACCGATGAGACTCAGAGAGCTAATTAGAAGCATCAGTAGTACTCAGGTTACATGCAGCACTGTCTATACTTCAGTTCAAATAACACCTCCATGGCCTGGCTTCCATTCTGCCTACATGAGAGCAGCTGACTGAAGCTGAATCAAAACAAGATTCAAGTGATGCTGATAGAAAGACAGAAGTACTTTGAACTCGGCGCCACAGCTCTGCTCTCCTTGAAAAGATGTCTGTCCTTATTCGGTCACCATCTTAGACTTCACATTGCACTCAGAACACACAAATATGCATAATGGAAAGAAAAAAAAAACAATTCTATCTGTGGCTGACTAGAACATTTAACCCAGAGGTGCTCAGTGCCCAGCCTACAAAGCCATTTCATCTGGCCTGCAGAGCTCCCAAACGACCAGAATTTGGCAGCAGGGGAACAGTGGCAGCATTAATTCCTGCTTCCCTGCTATCAAATTTCCAGACAGTTGGGGAGCCTTCAGGCTGGGTACTGTGGCCCTGCATGATAGATCACACCAGCATGCAGCTGGATTGGGACAGCAGGTGGTGCATGGTGCAGCACTGGGCCCACGAACTGACTCGCTCATCCAGGCCCTGTTTTAGCTGAGGTTCTACCAGGTCTAGATACACTGTTGTACCTTATTTACCTGCATACCACATATCTTTTTCCCAAAAAATCATCCCTCCCCAGCCTACTGCCTTAAGTAGGCAAGTCATTTTCTGCCCAGAACAGAACTCCACTTTGAATCCTCTCACAGCAGCACTGGTATTTGCATTCAGGCACCCAAGAGAGGCATTTGACTTAATGGGCCATCGTTCTTCACTCCTCAGGTGTTAACAACTGTTTCTCCTTTTCAATGGTACTGATGTTCCACTAATCAAGCTAACTACTTCTGGCAATTTTGCTGTCTTTTAGTTACTCCCAGTTTCTCTCCTTTATTTCACAGCCTTGCAAAATGTTTTTAACTCTTCAAAATCATAGAGGCACTCTTGGAGACCAGTCTTCAGCAGCAGCTCAGGTTTGGCTAAGCAGAAAAGGGAGGATAATGCAGCTGAAGATAAGACTCTGTTGCTGCTTTGTAGTTATTAAACCAGAAAAAAAAATCTTTATTCTGCCTTCTCCAAAACAAGGTGCATGCCTTTATTTGGGGCATGTGGCTTGTGAGAAAATATGGGGTGCCTTTGAAAATTATGGACTTAGGGCTAGAGTCCAGTTCCCTTTCACATGCCTAAATGGCACTTACGTAGCCACATAGTTGCTGTTTTGGAGACTTATGCTCAATTTGAGATTTGCTGTAGCTACACTGTCCGTATACTCTGCTTCTGTCTCTGCTCAGTAGACTACACTCTGAGTACTGTAATTAGGAAGGCAGGGAGTGAAGATAAATGGTGTCAGAAAGAGAAAAGCAACCAGAGGGATGACAATGTCCTGAAAGAAAGGGGGACTCAGGCCCTGATCCTAATGAGGAAGTAACTATCCCAATGCTGTTTATTTTTATTCAATGACTATTAAATGGAAGGAGCAAAGAACCAGTTTTAAGGGGAAGGCTGCAGAGAAGTCTGAGAAATACCCAGCCCATGGACTAGTGATCAGAACACTTTCCTAGGAAGGAGGAGAGACCATTTCAAATGCTCTCTGGATGAAGGTTGTCTAAAACCCAAGTCTTCTGCTCCCTGAGCAAGTACGCTATAACCACTGCATATTTGGGGGAAAAAAGTAAGAGATTCCTTCCCTTCTTACTCTACTTCCAACAGGTACACATGCAGGATGATTCTACAGTTCCAAAGGAAACAGAATTCCAAAGTGCCAAAAACTGGTGTTACATTGCATAAGTGCCATTTAGGTGTATGAAAGGGAAATAGGCTTTAGCCCTGAACTTCTACAGTTCTGTATGTCCAGGAGTGAAGCTAAATGGTCCATAAAAAGTTCCAGCAAGTTAGGAAGACAGTACCTCTGGAGGAAAACTCTAAGCTGGTGAAGCTGTGTCTAATTTAGGTATGTACACTTAGCAATGCAGGCAACTGCTGCAGACAATGACCCTAGTATTTTAGTACTGGACTTACAGTTTTCAGAAACAGACCATGCTAAGAATTAGGATGAAATGACCATGCTCATTTGCTTTTGTAATGTCTGTCAGCAATAATTTGAACTCAGTTATCCTATTATGAAAAGATGGCATATCAAATCACTACACTAATGCCCTAGAGGGGGAAAAAAGTGAGCATGAGTAAAAAAACATCGAAAATAAGAACTTTCCTCTTTTTAAAGCAGGGGTGGGCAAAATACAGACCACGAGGCCAATCTGTCCGGCCCACAGAGTCCCTAAAAAATTTAGAAAATTAATATTGATCTGTCCTTGGTTCCTGTCAAAAATGACAGGAACCAGAGGCAGTAGGACCTGGGGGAAGTCCGGCAGGCTCCTGCAACACCAGGGCACAGCCCCGCCCCCCCCAGCCAAAAGGCCCAGCAGGGGCTTCTGGCCTGGGGCCACGTGACTGCACTGTGCCAGAACCTCAGGTAAAGGGGCGGTAGGGGGAGGGAGAGGGGGGAAGAGAAGGGCAGGGGAGGACCCCGGGCAGGGAAGGAGCCTGGGAAAAAGCTGAGTCTGGGGAAAAACAGCCCCTCGCCCACCCCGTGGCCCGGGTCCCCTGCTGCTGCTGCTCGCAGCCTGCGCAGGGCTGTCCTGAGCAGGCACAGGCAGCCCCACGCAGGCTGCAAGTGGCTGCAGCGTGGGACGCCAGCCACAGGGCAGGTGAGGGGCCACTTTTCCCCCTGCACTCAGCACCAGCTTGTAACCCAGCCCCTGCTGCCAGCCTGGGCCCCATGCCAGCTGTGGACTCACCTGTGGGGCTGCGCATGGCGGCAGCAGCTGTGGCCCCCTGGCTTGCCGCGCCAGGCAGTGTTTGCTGCTGCTGCCCACCCAGAGCTTGCGCACTGGGCAGTCCAGAGGTGGTGGTGACTAGGTTCAGTCCAGCTGGCAGCCAGGAGTATGATAACAGCTTGGATGCCATCTGTGAGGTATGGACCACAACGTATGGAAGGTACAGAGACGTGGCTAGTGCCTCTGGCATCAAGGCATAGAATGGGCAGCCTCCTGCATTTACCACCAATTTATTGTAATAGCAAAGTTGTGGCAGAAAAGATTGGGTGGACTGCCCTGTGGACAGGGTGGCGGGCTAGCTTGAGACCTGACTTTGAGCATGCCCCCATAACAGAAAGGTAATGTACTGAATTACTCTAGAGCAAGTATGTCCTACTTCCTATAAATACAAAACAACAAATCCACTTGCCACCATTCCCAATTTTTTAAAATAAAAGTTTGTATGGTCAAAAACTATACAAAATTTCTTCAACTACTGAAACTGCATAATGCTCAGACTATTTCTTAAAATCAGACTTATTCCTTTAAAATAACATTCCTCATAAATGCTGTGCATTTATCAACACATGAATTCCTCCTTTTAAAATAACTTCTGAAAATAGCTGCCATTGAACTGTCTCCAATATTTGGAGGGAGAGGAAAAATTACCTAAATTAAAAGATGTATGTGAACTTGCCTGTAAGTCTTCCTATACTGGTATAACTTTTTCAGAAATCCTTTTTCCTATATACTTTCAAAAAATACCTTTTATTTCTCTTACCTTCACTCAGCTGGTCCACTGACTGTTTAGAAACCAGATTGGACAAAGACTCTACCACTGTGCTTCTTTTTCTGAATCTAAATCAGCCACAATGGAAAAAAGAAACCCACAAAGGATAAGCAAATTTAAATAGGCATTTATATTAACCTAATGCATTATGATAATTAACTCCTTCTTCCTCCAAATGTTAGACAAATGTATAGCCATTCCAAAGAAGAGAGGTACAGCTCTGAGTAGTTTACCAATATATAACCCCCACTCTTGGTACATACCTTAATCCAGAAATCTATAAACCTTAATCCAGTCCCCTATTGTGTTATAGATTATGATACTATTTTTAAGTACGTGATCTCACAGTTTTTTCCCCTTTGCACAATCTTTCTGTAGTCACTGTACAATATGAATTATAGTCTGAGAAGGAATCAGGGATGTGAGTGAAGGTGGTTTCTATAAAACCCGCTTCCTCATTTTTGCAGGAATTAGAAAACTTGTTGCAACTGATGCAGGGAATTGTACAAAAGGGAAAGGATGGTCTAATAACTAAGGTTGTGTAACGCTCCCCTGGAGAACCATATTCTACCCCTGCCTTTAACACCAAGTTCTCTTGTGATTCTAGAGACGTCACTTAATCAGACTGCTCAAGGACTGGTCACTCCTCTCTGACAGCACAGACCATAGCCAGCATGTGGTATGCTAGCTAATGCTGAGAAGTGTCTGTGTAAGGCAGACAGGACCGTGTCTGCTTAGTGCTTTTTGCAGCTAATCAACAGGTACCTGATAACGTCCCTTCTTAGTATGTTCCCTTCCTTGCAAAAAGTTAAGAGCTTGAGCTAATGAGAGGCTTCATTTTCTGATGGGGTGATAAATGCTGATAGCAGAGCTGATAAATGCTCTGTTATCAAAGTGAGGAAGTCCTCTCTAATCAGGGTCCTGCAGGGGCCTGGCCATGGCCCCCTCCGCTTAGTACTGTGGAAGAGAAGGGAGGGCTGCTCTAGTGTCCCCTGGCTTCTGGCCTGAGACACTGTAGGCATGTGCCTGAACTTCCTCAATCCAGAGGGGATGTCTGTGTGCTTACAAACTGGTTTAGCCTAGCCAGGTTAGAATAACCTGCAAAGATTGAATCAGTTCTGGCTCAGGCTTTTTAAGTATCTGTCCCTAGCCTACAGAAAGAAACCTATTTCACTTTGCCCACCCAAAAAACACTTACCCAACTGCTATTTTTGGCACTTAACATACAGTTTGCAATCTTATTCCACATGCTGGGTGAACACATAAGTATCCACACAGCTACTGAACATACTCCATAAGCTTCACTCCAACTGGGCATGTACATGGCTTTATAAGGACAAATCCTGAGTGACTGCGAGCCATAAATTATAGCCAAGCAGAAATGTAATGCTTGCAGTAGTGGACACCAGAGGAAGAGGATTTTTTTTCCCCAAATAGGTAGTGGTTATAGGCTACTTGCTCAGGAAGCAGAAGACTTGGGTTCTAAGCCCCCTTCATCCAGAGAGCATTTGAAGCTGTCTCTCCTGCTTCTTAGGAAAGGCTAGTCCATGGGCTGGGAATTTCTAAGACTTCTCCACAGCCTTCCCCTTGAAGCTGGCTCATTGCTCCTTCAATTTAATATTCATGAATAAAAATAAATAGCACTGGGATAGTTACTTCCTCATCAGGATCAGGGCCTAAAGTTCCCCTTTCTTTTAGGACATTGTCATCACAGGTTTTAGGCAAGTAGCTTCGTGGTGAAAGCACTCACCCAGGAAACGACAAAACAGGTTCTAAGCTGCAGAGAGCAGGAGACGTATGGGGCAAGCTAGATTGTGGGTCTCCAGATGGTTGTTGCTTTAAATGGGAGGGGACCTGGGGTGCTAGCAGACACTTCCCCTCAGTTCTTGATACATTTTAACTAATGATATTAAATGCAAGGTGCAGATGCTAGACTACTAGAAAATTGAGCGAAGAGGAGATTGTATAATGCCTAACCTATGACTTTGTGTTAAAGCACTGTGCTGGGAGGGGCCTACAGCTTGGGCCACTTCTTGGCTACTCATAAGCTCTTTGGCTAAAACACGGTCATTATGTGGTCACTACTAGGGGTGTGAGAAACAGGCTGTATTCAATTCGGATTCGGCCCAAATTGGGGACAGTAATTCAATTTGTTGATTCGGATCACAGTCCCAATTCAATTTGACTGAATCTGAAGATTCAATGATGATTAAGAGAATCAGTGATTTGGCCATAGACACAGCTTGAAATGTTTTTTTCTACATACCTCAAAGTACCAGGCACAGCTCATGAACGCTGCAATGGCTTGGCTCAGCGATCGGCTGTGGGGGGACCTTGGGACCCCAGACGCAGAAAGCACCAGTCACTAAACCGGGTGGGGGGGGGGGGCCCTGCCACCCCCTGGATATGCCAGGGAGTGCACTGGCGGAAGTGGACCAGAAGTTGTTCTGGTCCACTTCCGGGTCTGCTGCCAAACGCACTGGAGACCCCCTTGTGCTATGGGACACTCCATCCACCCCAGCATCTCAGCATTCACGAGCCACCTGGTACCTTAAGGTATGTGGAAAAAACATTTCAAGCTGTGTCTACATCCAAATCGTTGAATCTTTCTGAACCTCTCCAAATTGATTCAGAGGGTTCCGATTCGATTCAGAGAGATTAGAGGGTCTCCTGATTAGATTCAGCCACCAAATTGGACCGAATCAAATAGGCAACAGAAACTTTGCACTACTTATTCTGTGCACTAAAGTGAGGCAGATGCTGTAGAGTGTAAGATCATGTAATTAAAAGATTGTAATACACAGGGGCCAAATGAGGTTGCATTGCTTTTAGTTCCAATGTAAACCTTAGTTCCAGTATTTCCTAATTTTTCTATGTTCATCTTAGACACCGTAATGTTCTTATAATGTGACATGTGCATGTGTGTGTGTAAAACAGTATATAAAATAATGTCCTGAATTCTTATACACTTCAGAAATCATACCATCATACTGACAATGTTTGAAGCTGAACACATAAAACAGCAGTGCACCCTTTCCACTTTTCCCCCATGTAAAAAATATGAAATGACGACTTTTTGTGATGATAGCAGAACTTTCTATTTCACAATATATACATGCACAACAAAAAGTAACAATTGTCAAGGACAGCTGTCAAAATGCTTTACATTTACTTTGTTTCAAATACAGTGACAGAAACTCAGAAACAGAGTTTCTATCACAGATTTTCTAACTCTGGACTTTAATTTTGCAAGATTCAGTTTTTGAATGTTCAACTTTAGATATTGTTAAAAGTCTGATTTTCAGATCTGTTGAACATATACAGCTAATTAATTCAGCTGGTGGTAAGCACAAACATGATATCAGAAGGACAGGTATTACTTTGGACTCCCAAAATTGAGAACATTTGAAAATTAAGGCCTAAAAATATGACCAACACAAAAGAAAAACAGACCCTTTCCCCAGAAGCACCTTCCTTGGTGACACCAGTTTACTACTGATTTTCCTTAAAACAGACTGCTTCCCTACGGGTACACTTTTCCCACCATGAGGTTCTGGCAGGCGGCCTTTTAAAGTTGGTAAAGGCAATCAGTGGTAGCCTTAGGATGGTCATTTTGCTATGGATCACTGTATTTTTGTCTCCTTTCCTTGTACACACATAATATATTTCTCTCACTTTTCCTTACTGCTGAGGATGCGGCACACTGTCACACACTAAAGTGTGATTAGCAAATGTATGGCAGAACCAGAAATAGAGCCAAAGTCTTGACTGCTAGTCTGCTGCCCTGGGGGGGAGGGTTGTTTTGTTTTGTTTTTAACTAAAGTACAAGCCAAACATTTACATTTCAATACTGTCAAAAAGCTTAGGTCTAGGTTTGAGAGAAGATTTTGATGAGTTATTTTCCAAAATATTTTTGACCCATTTTTTAAAGTGACCATACAGAAGAACAATGCTACAATGATACCATGGAAAACAATGATACCAGGTCTTTAAAAAGTTAGAAGCCACAGGCTGTATAAAAACATATGCTCAAACTGCATACACAAATACTATAACTGCATGTAGAAATTGGCTCTTTCCATATCAACATGGCTAGCCAGATGTTAATTAACTAGTATCTGAGTTCACAAATACCTGAGCATGAGTGGGTATTTGACTTCTGCCATAATACAAATAATGTATATTAATATTAATAAGAATAATTGCCTAATATGCTCTACCCAATTTAAGAGTATGCTACCATGCTCACTCCATACTGGAGCAGTAGTCAGTATATTCCATTTAAATGTCTCACACGTAATTTTCTTAGGCTTACCTTTGGCAGGTTTGTAAAGCTTCCTTCATTGTAGAAATTCCCAGCTGGATATCCTGTTGTTCAAAAGTCATAGCAGCTTGCATAACTAATATTGTACCATAGCCAAGAGCATGATACATACTGTTTTTAGACCTGGGAGAAATATACAAATCTCACAGATTAGAGCTAAACTAATACACTGGAAAGATAATCCCTATTTTATAGTAACCAAGTTCAATAATAAAATTAAGGTACAGATTCTACAGGACATTTTAGAGGTCACAGATGTCAAATTTCCTTACTTGAGATTTTAGGTGGACTTCCAGCCCTCAAGTAATCGGTTCTCTCTCTCCTTTGCTACGACAAAATCTGTGGCAATTTAAATTCTGCCATAATTCACAAACTGGGAATAAGAAAGTCATTTGCACTAATTCGGGATTCCCATATCAAATGGGTAAAAAGAGAGTGGAAAGTAGTAGGAAAATAACCTGAGAACGTATTATGGCAGATGATGAGGAGTAGAAGGGCAAGTGATTTATTTTTTATTTTCTCATTATATATTTTTCTGCCACAATGCTCCTCTCTGACATCTTTTTAAGTAAACAATCTTCCATGTTTCTACATAATATGATCTTTTGTACTGAATGCCAAAAGTATGTTAGGGCACTTACCATTTATACCTGACATCACTTCAACTTGTATGCTATCTGTAACACCTACTAAATTTAGTCAATTAGATCTTGATAACATTTTTTTCTTTCTACCTTTTATTTGAAAAAGAGGAGGGGAAAGCTAAATAACTTTACTAGTTGAGCCAATTTCCATGGAATGATAGGCAAATGATTTGTATATGTCACACAAAAGTGACTGCACATAAGCTGCAACGACTTACCAAAGACTAAATTTGCTAGTATCTTACTTTAAAGGTAATTTTTAAAAATGAAGGCACCAAGAGAGACAGAATTTGGCCCTAAATTTTTATTTCTTGGATGTATCAAATAACTGAATTTATTTTTAAAATATGTTTATTTGTTTATTATTTACAGAGTCACTTTTTAGGAAACAGTTTTCAGAAATATATATTAAAAAAGCCCCATATGCCAGTCCTTTGTATGTTGGCTGAATGCCTAGGAGAGCATTCAGCCAACATACATTCATGATACACCTTGAATATGTCCATAGCCCTGAAGTGCATGATCACCTAAGGGCTTCTAAAGTATTAACTTTTTTCTTCATAGTATGCATGATGAACTGAAACAGTAGTTTTTGTACAAAAGCTATTGCCCTTTTTGTCTTCTGGCATAGCAAGAATGAGTGTTATACATTTTCATTAACAAACATAAAACATCCTTAACTTTATTAAACAGACCTGCTGCTTTGTTTCTCACCATATTCAGAAAACCTCTTGAAAACCAAGAGATTCAGAGTTCAGAACCATGCCATAATGTTTGTTCTACATAGCATCACTTTGCCTTGTAGACAGTGAGTGTTATTCAGGGAACAAGCTAAATAAACAGGGTAATGCTGAGCCTTAAACACATCTCTTCACTGATGTAAAACTGTACTGACTAGGACAGGGGTAGACAATTATTTTGGGAGGAGGGCTGCTTACTGAGTTTGGCAAGCCATCAAGGGCCACATGACAGGCAGCCATGGGCAGATAAAGATTAATTTTCTAAATTTTTTAGGGGCACCCCGGGCTGGATAGAATGGCCTGGTGGGCCACATCTGGCCCACGGGCCGCATTTTGCTCGCCCCTAGGCTAGAAGCTAGCTCCATCTGCTGTACAGTCAGGCACTGAACATACTCCACAGAAACAACTAAATACTTGATAAATTCTACAGCCATTTCACTCTCCTTTTACAACCCCTTTACACTTACCCTTCAGTAATGTGCTTTTGCTTGCCCAACCTCAACTTCTTGGAGAATCTCCCTGCTGACAGTTCCCATAGCAGGAAGACCACTGTGCTGACAATTTATAGAATCCAGTGATGAAATGAGTTCAACTAGATCCCTTAATACAGGCCCTTCTTGAGTGCACAAATGGGTGAAGAGGCAGAAAGTGGGGCTCAAATCCCACCTCAATGGACAGAGGCCCCCTGATACCCTTATCCCATCTCAGCTATGCTCAAACTACTCCCCTCAGCAATTCCATCCACAACAAATGCTTCTAGATTTCATGGAAATAATTCTCACTGGTAGATGCTAGCTTCAGGGAGACAGGGTGTGAAGGACACAGAATTATGGCTACATTGGCAAAGCCCTTAAAACACCATTTCCTGTTTTCAGGCATTTGAGTCTTGCTGGGCATTGCATCTGGAAGGGCAAGGACATAGTAGGCTCTGCATTAACAAAGCTCTTTCTCTGTAAATTTTCTAGACATCTGAGGAGAAAGAGGAGTTGATCTTCACTTAAGCTATATACAGATGTTCCATCTGTGCCAACAGAAAAGCCTCTCCTGACACAAAAAGGAGAGCACACAGAAGACTGAGAACTGTCTCGTGGATGAAAAATGGCTCTTGTACAAAAAGTTAAATTGGTTATCTAGAAGGAAGATCTTTCTTCTGATCTAACTTGAACACCTGTGCACTTCAGGAGAGAGAGAAAGAAAAGAGATTCAGTATCCCACAGTCCTCTGCTCTCCCTTGGAAAGCAAACTGTCAGGCAACACTGTGGGGACCCTGCCCAACCAAAGAGCCTCCACCCAATGCACTACTCCCATTCCACTGGAAAGCCTGTGGGGAGTGGGGGACAATTCTCCTGTGACTACAAAGCTAACCCAGGCTTGGGCAACTCTGCAGCCATGAATGAACCCTGCAGCCACAGATCTTCTCTCTTCCCTAGTGGAACCAAAGGCATGCACAGGAGCAGGAGTCAACTGTGTTGTGTCGGCAAGACTGCCTGGGCTCAGACAACCTTGCAGCCACATGAGATTCCCAAAGACTGGGCTCAGACAGCTTTGTAGCTACATGAGATTCCTAAGGACTGGGCTTAGGGAAGCTGTCCCCAAGCCCAGTTCCTGGTCCAGCAGGGGAGGGATTGCTAAGACCTGAGGACTAGGACCTGTGGTTGGGAAAGGTTTTCCCACCCCAGTTTGTAGGCTTTAAATGATACATGTGCCACTTAGCTGGGTGGCATGCATGGCTATTAAAGGCTGGGGAATCAGGACAAAGGGTCAGAAAAAATCTCCCCAGCACTACTTTTCTGAGCCTCTACCTTAAAATCACCCTGTGTGCATCCCATCTGGATGCCTATTCATAGTTTCATAGTTTCTAGGGTCGGAAGGGACCTGAGAAGATCATCTAGTTCGACCCCCTGCCACGGCAGGAAAGAGTACTGGGGTCAAATGACCCCAGCAAGGTG